CAAATTGATCTCAAATGACCTGGAAAACCAGGTTTGAATGTGGAATTCTTAGTCTTGAGATTTCTGCACCTTTAGAACATGGCAGTGTAGGGAGAGCTGGCCCATCTTCTCTTTTCTTCACATTCTTGGCCCAATTCTGCACTATGAAGGGCACACATTTGGTTTTGTCCACACCCCTACAAACAGCCACCCCTTGGACACCTCTTGAGCCTAGTGTGGCACATAGAGTGGAATGATCTGTCCTAAAAAGTAACAGGTTTAGGTGAAAGGACTGTGCAGTCCCTGGCGGCAGGCTTGAAGCTCTTTGAACAAGAATTCCGTGGTTCCAGGATCCTGGAGCATAGTCTAGGAGGGGAGTCTGGGCCTGGGTGGGTATGTCCTCTTAGACACTTGGACTTTTCACTGTGGAAGGAAGGGTTTGCTGTGAACCACTCTTGCCCATGTTTAAGGACAGTGCTGAGCAAGTGTAATATCTGTGTTGCCTAGAAAATGAGAGTAAGATATGAATGAGCACATAAATCTATACCATTCTCGTGCTTACTAATTTAGCTTCCTAGATAGAGCTAGAAAGGGAAAATGCCCTGATCACCAAAGTTGAGTTGAATGTCTTGACAATTATTATTTTTATTATAAAGTCCTCATTATAATATATAAATCAGTTTCTTATGTTTTTGCTCATAGCAAATTTATATCAATCCTAGGTTTTCTGACCTTATGGAGGTATTGGGACTTACCAATAAGTCACATCTCTCTGAGTGATGCCCTTACCCTGTTACCATGTAATGGGAACAACTAAGAAACTGTGAGATCTAACCATCATGAAGGGCAGTCAGCCTGGGGAGCAGAATCTGGGTGATCAGATCAAATGTTAGCTCTACTACTTCATAACTGTCCAATATTAGGAAGGTATTTTTTCTTTCTGAGCCAAAATTTTCTTATTTGTATAAAGGGGATAAACCCACCTATTCTCAGGTTGTTGTGATCAATATAATATACACCAAGGGGCCTACACACAAGATATTCATACGTCAAGCAAAGGCTTTTTCTTAATTAAAATAATGAAAAGTAATGAGGTATTTTAAGAAGTAAATCTGAGATTTAGTACAGGGAGGTTGACATAAGGAAGGAAAGAGATGGGGGTCCGTGGAAGATAAAGTCCTTAGTTTAATATCCTGAAAAGAGTGCTTTGGGGCAGCCCTAGGCTCTTGCTTATCTCCAAGGGAAGGTATGTATCTTTACTATCTCAACCTAATAATTTCTCTTGAGCTTCAGTGTCCTGATTTGTTAAATGAAGATGATAGGAATTGCTTTGATGACCTTGATAAGGATCCTTTGATAGAGTGGTGGAGATAAGAGCCAAGGGAATGGGTTGGAAAGTGAATAGGAGGTGAGGAAATGGGGATTATCTGTTTTCAATTCTTTTCTGTGAAGTTAATCTGAGAAAGTTAGTCTGTGAAACATAGTGGGAACTGGAGGGCAATGCGAGGTCAGTGAAGGTTTTGTTTATTAAAGGTTGGGAAATACCAGAGCATGATTGTGTGTTGGGGAGAAGTACCTCTAGTAGAAAGGGAGAGGATGATAATGGAGAGAAAACTTTGGATGGCGAGGTGGGGTTGACCTTTGGTGCTAGGAAGAGAAATTTGTAGGTTTAGCATGGGGAAGATGAGATGCTCCACCCAGTAGCTCTCTCTCTCGCGCTCTCGCTTGCGCGCGCTCGCTCCCTCTCCCCCTCTCCCTCTCTCCCCCTCTCCCCCTCTCCCCCTCTCCCCCTCTCCCCCTCTCCCTCTCTTTCTGTCTCTCTCAATGAAGCATGAAGTAGGGATGTTAGCAGAGAGATGTATGTACAACTGTGGGGAGTGGGAGGTCATTTGGAAGATAGTAGAGAAAGTGGGAAATTAATAAGAGTGAGGGAATATTCTGGAGTTGTGCAGGCTCTGGAACCCAGCTGAGTCTGAGTTGACAAGGTTAGAGTGAAGTGACTCTCCCCAGCTGTGAGACCCCGTCTCTGAACTCTTTGTCGCCATTTCTCCTGCAGTAGCCTTTCCATTCTATTGTTTTTGAGCATTTTTGATATTACCTGAGGCACTCTTCAGTTACACTGAGCTGCCTGCTGGGGCTGTCCAAGTTAAGGTCAAGGTACCCGTTATTATTTGGTTAGCTCTCTGATTACAAAATTGTATAGGTTTTTAGTAGTCTACCCAGCTTTTCCCCCAGCTCGTGCTATTATTGGTGTGAGATTTTGTAGAGAGTGAGGTGGTTCAGAAATGACTAAATTGTCTTTATCTCTATATAAGGTCATTATAATGGACTGAATGTTTATGTCCACACAAAATTTACATGTTGAAATACTAATGCCAAATGTGATGATATTTGAAGGTGGGGCTTCAGGAGGTAATTAGATCATGAGGGTGGAGCCTTCATGAATGAGATTAGTGCCCTTATGAGAAGAGGCCAGAGAACTAGCCAGCTGTTTTTCCTGACACGTGAGAGTACAATGAGAAGTCAGCAGTCTGCAACGTTGAAGAGGGTTCTTACCTGAACCCAAGCATACTGGCATTCTTCTCAAACTCACTTGGAACATTCATCAGGGTAGACCACATAGAACTCACTTGGAACATTCATCAAGGTAGACCACATAAAACACATCTTAACAAAGTTAAAAGGGTAGAAATCATATGATATCTGCTCTCAGACCACAATGGAATTAGAGTCAATAATAGAAAGACAACTGGAAAATTCTCAAAATACATGGAGATTAAACAACAAACTTACAAATAATACATAGGTCAAAAAATATCTCAGGGGAAATTTAAAAATATTTTGAACTAAATAAAAATGAAAACAACTTATCAAAATATGTTGGATGCAGAGAAAGCAGTGCTTAGAAGGAAATGTATAGCATTGAATGCATATGCTAGGAAGGAAGAATCAATCTGTTTTCATCTTAGGAAACTAGATAAAAGCAAACTAAATCTAAGGTATGGAGAAGAAAAGAAGTAATAAGAATTAGAGCAGAAATCAATGAAATTGAGAATAGGAAATCAGTAGAGAAAAGCAAGGACACAAAAATTGGTTTTATTGAAGAGATCAATAAAATTGATAAGCCTCTAATGAGGCTAACTAAGAAGAGAAGAGGGAGGATACAAATTACTCGTATCAGAAATGAAGGGACATCACTTCAGATCCCTTGGACATTAAAAGGATAATAAAGTAATACAATGAACTAAGTGCCCACAAGTTTGATAACCTGGATGAAATGGATCAACTCTTTAAAAGACAATCTGCTAAAACACAGAAGAAGAAATAGACAATTGAAGAGGATTTCTCAATTAAAGAATTCAGGTAAATAATTACCTTCCAAAATAGAAAGCACCAGGCCCAGATGGTTTTACTGGTGAATTCTGCCAAACATTTAAGGAAGAAATTATGCCGGTTCTCTGTAATCACTTTCAAAGGATAGAAGCAGAGGGAATACTTTTTAACTCATTCAGTGAGGCTAGCCTTACCTCAGTAGCAAAACCAATAAGCAATTACAGCAGCATTGTAGGATACAAGTTCATTATACAAAAGTTGGGTGCTTTCCTATATATGCTTTCCTTGTTTCCAATGAACAAGTAGAATTTGAAATTAAGAACACCTTCCTGGGACTTCCCTGGTGGTCCAGTGCATAAGACTCTTGTCTCCCAGTGCAGGGGGCCTGGGTTCGATCCCTGGTCGGGGAACTAGATCCTGCATGCATGCTGCAACTAAGAAGTCCGTGTACTGCAACTAAAGATCCTGCATGCTGCAACTAAGACCCCGCGCAGCCAAAATAAATTAAAAAAACAAACTGCAACTAAAAAACCACCTTCCCATCATTTTTACTGTGAACCTAAAACTGCTCTAAAGAATAAAATATTTTAAAATAAATATTAAAACTATGAAATCTATGAGTTCAGTCACTACTTTAGCTTACCTTTTACCTTTTGATTTTTGAAGTGAGTAGTCTATGTTAAGGTAATGAGGAACAAACATCTTTTCAGAGAATTTGTTCCTTAAACTGAAACTTACTCTTTAATGCAGAAAAATAGAATTCCTTATTCATGATTTGACATTCAACTACACAGTAGACTCTTAACACACAATGAGTAAGATACTTATTGTTCACAGATGGATGTTATTATTTTAGTGTTAAAAATAGATATACAAGGGGTTAGGGACAGAAGGAGGTTGTGGGGAAGGAGGTGGGTGTACTTATGAAAGGATGACATGAGGAATCCGTGTGGCATTCAGTATCTTGGCTGTCGGGGGATCTGTGAGCCTGCAGGTGATAAAATTCTATAGAAGTAAACATAAACACACAAATAAAATGAAACTGGGAAAAATCTCAAAAGACCAATATAGGGCTTCCCTGGTGGTGCAGTGGTTAAGAATCCACCTGCCAGTGCACGGGACATGGGTTCGAGCCCTGGTCTGGGAAGACCCCATATGCTGTGGAGCAACTAAGTCCGTGCACCACGACTACTGAGCCTGTGTTCTAGGGCCCGTGAGCCACAACTACTGAGCCCACGTGCTACAACTGCTGAAGCCCACATGCTGCAACTTCTGAAGCCTGTGTGCCTAGAGCCTGTGCTCCTCAACAAGAGAAGCCACTGCAATGAGAAGCCTGCGCACCACAATGAAGAGTAGCCCCTGCTCGCTGCAACTAGAGAAAGCCTGCAGGCAGCAGCAAAGACCCAATGCAGCCAAAAATAAATAAATAAATAAATAAATTTTATTTTAAAAAGACCAGTATATTGTATAATATATATGATATATATATATATATACACACATATACTGATTGTGACATTGCACTTCAGTTTTGTGAAATATTACCACTGGGGAAACTGAGTAAAGGATACTAAAGATCTCTCTTAAAACTTCATGTGAATCTGCAATTATCTCAACGAAGTTACAATTAAAAATGCACACACAACTACTATATAAAACTAATATATAATTTTTATTTTTGTTTTTAGGTTTTTCCCGCCTGATTGACAACATAGTCATCATTGGCTTTTGTAAGTTGATATTTTAATTTCTTTATCCTTCACCTCCAACCTTGTATATTTTCTAATTACATGAGAATATTTTTCTAGGGAACCTGAACAAGAATTAGAGCAAAACCTTTTTTTTTATTTGGTTCTTATATTATTTTAAAGATAGTCTCACTTTTTCTCATACCATTAGGTGATAGTTATTTTGAGAAGGTTTGAATTACACATCTTGGGCTGGGGCCATCTGTTTCTTTGGAGTGACTTCCCATCAGGGTTATGATTAGCAGGAGCAAAGTGCCATCTGTGGAGCTGAGGTGGCACATCCATCCATCCCGTTGGACATCACAGTCTTCACCTAGAACATCCTTGTGGCAGATGGTAAGAGGGACACAACATCCTGGGAGAAAGCCACTAATGGGAATGGTTTGACTAATGAGGTATAACAAATTCTGTTTCATTTATCTGTGAAAATCTGGCAATGAGATGAAATGAAGGGAGAATTGCAGATTGGGAGAATTTAACTTTATTCTCATTTTATCATTTGGAGTAGCTATATGTCTGTTCAGTAACTTTTTCTTGTAGCATATTGAAGAAAAATTTAGATCTCCTGTTTCATGGTAGTTTTTTTTAATTCAGTGAAATCTAAACATTTGAAATAGATTTGAACAAACATTTTTAACCTGGGAAATAAATTATCCCCTCTATCACTGAAAACATTCGCAGTATTAAATGGCTAATCCTCTCCACTCCAACCAAACTTTCTTCTCCCTTAGTCTTCCTCATCTCAGTAAATGGCAACTACATTCCTCCAGTTGTTCAGATAGTCTCTGTGGCACCATCATCCTCTCTTCTTTCTGTCATCCCCTATACACCCAGCTGTCAGGAAATACTGTCAGCTCTGCCTTAAATATATCTAGAAGATGACTGCTTTTCACCATGTATTCTACTACCATACTGGTCAAAGCCTTCATCTTTTTATTAAAATAGCCTCCTAACTTGTTTCCCTGCTTTTACACTTTCTCCACTATAACCCATTCTCCAAATGGCAGCCAGATAAATTATTTAAAACTCTTCAGTCTGATCATGTTACTTTTCTGCTCCAGTGACTCCGGTGCCTCTCTTCACAGAGGCTTATCAACTTCTACATGATATGGGCCCCCATTACCTCTGATCTAACCTAACCTTTTACTGCTCCCCCTCACTCACTGCTTTAGCCATACCAATATTCTTGTTCCTACGTTGGGGTTTTGCAATTACTGTTCCCACAAATAGCCACATGACTCACTTCCTTACCTCCTTTAAATCTTTGCAAAATTGTCATCTCCGCATCCAGGCCTTCCCTGACTACCTTATTTCAAATTACCACTGTTTCTCCCTGCCTTACACTCCCAGCACTTCCTATCACTACAATACTTTATTTATTTATTATTATTTTTAAAATAAATTTTTTTGTTTTTATTTATTTTTTGGCTGCGTTGGGTCTTCGTTGCTGCATGCGGGCTTTCTGTAGTTGCGGCGAGCAGGGGCTACTCTTCGTTGTGGTGCGCGGGCTTCTCCTTGCAGTGGCTTCTCGTTGCAGAGCACAGGCTCTAGGCACGCAGGCTTCAGTAGTGGCACGTGGGCTCAGTAGTTGTGGCTCGCGGGGTCTAGAGCACAGGGTCAGTAGTTGTGGCGCACGGGCTTAGTTGCTCTGCAGCATGTGGGATCTTCCCGGACCAGGGCTCGAACCCGTGTCCCCTGCATTGGCAGGCAGATTCTTAACCACTGCACCACCAGGGAAGTCCCAGTACTTTATTTTTTTAACCACCTTCTGTTATATATTTTACTTATCTGTCTCCCTTTCACTTGAAGATGAACTCTACGAGAGTAATAATTTTTGTGTGTTTTGTTTACAAAGATGGGAAAGTGGGATAGGGAAAATGGATTGTATAGTGGTTACTGACTTTGCCTAATACAACCTTCTCTTGTTGCCTCGTGACCACAGAGATAGGTAAGTGAAAAAAGCAACTAAAATCTCAATCATCTGTGTATTTCTAGGATTACTGGGAGAAAAGCTAGGTTTGAAATTTCTTCTAAGAATATACTTCATTTTCTTTTCAGTGCTTGTTTGATTAGAAGTTCTTTGGTAAAAATGAGTAGATATTGATATTTTTAGTAAATGATTCCTAATGCCATTTTGTTACTGAAAATTTAGAGTGTTCTATCAGAATTTAGTTCCAGAAGTGTGCTTTTTAAGAGCTATAAATTAAGAGCAGACAGAATGGTGGATAGCACAAGTTTTAGAACCAAGTGTAGCCTGGCTTGAATTCTGGCTGTGATTCCAATAAGTACACTATAAGCAAGTTAATGAGGCTTTCTTAGCCACAGTTTTGTCTTTTATAAAATTGAAATAATAATAGTTGTGAGGCTTATGAGGATTAATTGAGGTGATATACCTGGCCATTAGCAACATTCAGTAACTATTAATCCTTTAATCTGATATTGCTCAGTTTTATAAGCTTGAGATACTAGTAATAAATTATTTTACAGTGTACTTTGTAGAGAAGACAGTCTTTTATAATTTATGTCATTACATATAGTAAATTTTGAAAAAAATTATGTATATTTTACGGAAGAGAAAATGACTAGGAGACATGAGCTGCTCTGTAATGTGACCCCAGAAAATTTTTTGCATCTTTTGTGATCTCTACACTTTAGCAATGTGGAGAGGATGAAATGAGATAGTGTTGATTTGTCAGTACTTATTTAAAAATATAAAACATTAATGCAAATGTAAGGAATTGGAATATCATACTGAGGGGACTTCTACCATGACTTCCAGTCATGATGTAGTAACAGGAACTGGATTTATTATCCTGCCTTAGCAAAACAAACAAACAAACAAAACCCCATAAAATATATGAAACAAAGGTTTTCAAACATTGGGTGACAAGTGGCATAAGACAGTTAACCCTGAGATAAAGGAAACAAATGATGTGCCCAAGGCCACAGTGTAAGAGGGGAACCCAGACACAGCTCAGTAGTCACCCTGAATTGAGGTGATTAAGCTGGCAATTCAGGGAGGTTGAAGCAGCTAGAATTTGCAGGACAGAGGACCAGAGAGAAGAGAGCTCTGGAGATCTTCAGAGGGTTCCCTTGGAGTCTTCAGCTGAGTGCTGATTGGTGCGTGCTTACGAGAGAACTACCCAAGGCTTGGAGAAAAACCACTGGGAAGGGAAAGTTAGCTCATGTAGGGCTGGGAAGTGTGCATCCCCACCATTCAGAGTAGAAAAACTTTGTAATACAAGTGGCATTAGATGGAATGCTCAGAAGGGTATTGCCTCAGTGGTGAGGCAAAATTAGCCCTAGACTAAAGGCTGCCCTGATCCTACCTAAAAAATCTTAAAAGTGGGAATTCCCTTGTGGTCCAGTGACTAGGACACAGGTTTTCATTGCTGTGGACCTGGGCTCGATCCCTGATTAGGGAACTGAGATCCCACAAGCTGCACTGTGTGGCCAAAAAAAACAAAACAAAAAAAATCTTAAAAGTAAGCCATTAAAGAGGAATCATAACACTTTTTTAGTAAAGGGCCAGATGGAAAATACTTTAGGCTTTACAGGCAATATGACCTCTGCTGCAACTACTTAGCTCTGCCATTGTAATGTTAAAGCAGTCATAGATAATATGTAAATGAATGGGGGTGGCTGTATTCTAATAAAACTTTATTTACATAAATAGACTCTGGGCCAAATTTGGCTTGTGCACCATAATTTGCAGACTTCTGGTTTACAGGGTCACACTGTGGGACTTCCTTGGCAGTCCAGTGGTTAAGACTCCACGGTTCCATTGCAGGGTGCACGGGTTAGACCCCACATGCCGCATGGCGCGGACAAAAAATTAAAATAGAAAAGAAAAGGGTCAGATTGTTTCTAGTCACTTAACTCCAACTCAGAACAAAGCTCAAGAGTATATAAAGAAACACAAAATATCCAGCACCTAACAAGGTAAAGTACACAATGTCTAGCATTCAATCAAAATTTACCAGATATGCAAAGAAACAGGAAAATTCAGTAGGAAGAGAAAATTCAATCAATAAAAATAGACTCAGAAATGAAACAGATTTAATAAACAAAGATATTAAGTTAATAAACATTTTATTTAAGTAATTTAATAAGATTTTAATAACATATTCACTAAATGAAGATATTAAAAACATTAGTATAACTAAATTTTGTATGTTCAAGATAATAGAGGAAGCATAAATTTGTTAAGAAAAGACATGAAAGCTATAAAACGACCCAAATTGATCTTCTAGAGACAACATAAACATCTGAGATGAAAAATACACTGGATAGGATTAACAGCGGACTAGACACTGCAGAAAGAAAGATTGCAAGAACTTGAAGACACAGCAATAGACATTACACAAAATAAAACACACACACAAAAATCCTGGGAAAAAAAGCCCATCAGTGAGCTGTGGGATAACTTTAAACAGCCAAAACTATTGTGTAATTAGAGTCTCCAAAGGAGGGAGGGAACAGAAAAAAATCTTTTTAAAATAATGGCTGAAAATTTGCTAGATTTAATGAAAACCATAAGCCCACAAATCTCAGAAGCTCAATGAAAAGCTAGTAATTACCAAAAAAAAAAAAAAAAAGAAAAAAATGAAGAAAATTACACCAAGGCACAACATTAATCAGATAATTTAAAACCAGTAATAACGAGAAAGATTTTAAAGTAGAGAACGGAGAAACTATAAATTTAGAGGAACAAAGAACGACAGCAGACTTTTCATCAAAAGCAAAGCAAGCCAGAAGACAGTGGAGCAATGTCTTTAAAGTAATGGAAGAAAAAACTGTTAACCTAGAAATCTATAGCTAATGAAAATATTTTTCAAAAAAGGTAGTGAAATAAAGACATTTTCAGACATTCAAAACCTTAAAGAGTTAGTCACCGTTAGACCCACACTACAAGAAATGTTAAAGTCCTCAGGAAGAAAGAAAATAATACCAAGTGGAAATAAAGAGCACCAGAAATGGTA